CCCCCAAAATACTTTGATCTTTCCTCTTTAATAATAATATGAACATTAGACGATAAAATTTTGTTTTCGTCAAGTTCGGCTTTTTTTTCATCTTGCTATGCTCTTTTGTTTACATTTTCGTGGGTGAGTTGTCCCCCTTTCATTCTCACGATGTGTCTTAATCGTGTTTTCAAACTGATTTTATTAAAAAACAACTGTATTTTTTTCCCATTTTCGGCCCCGTTAGAACCACCACAAGGTAATTTTATGTAGTCCTGTGAAGTTTTATTGAAATCGGCTAAAAAATGTAGGAAATTCGATCCAACATATAAACGTTACAGACAAACACACACACACACAATCTGCGTTTTATAATAAGATATATATATATATATATATATATATATATATATATATATATATATATATATATATATATGTGTGTGTGTGTGTGTGTGTGTGTGTGTGTGTGTATTTAGGCAGTAATCCTTCTTTCATGCACATTACATTGAATACGACAGACAAGGTGCTTTTATTTAATTTTTATATAGTTTCTCTTGCGATCTAATAATTTTTTTTTCTTTCCAGATGATAAATTATATAAAAACTGTCCGAATGTTCTTTTTATCCGAGCGCTTTCAGCTATACATTTAGCCATTTTCAAAGATTAAATAGTTTAACTGTTAAATAAGAAATATTTTGTTGCATGTATGTTTTATAAAATGTTTTCATTTTTCAAAACACGGCCAAGATATTATGTCCATGTTCATTGTTGATATTATTAAACGTTGTTTTTTTGTTTTTTTTTGTCTTATTAATAAAGCTTCCATTATTTTTAGCCCATTTTTGCATGTAAATGATTCTATTATATTAGTGTCGCCAACAGATATGTTACGAATAGGGCCGGGTAGGTTTTCATGAATGTTTAAATTAGATCTAATTGAGCTATGGTCAGAAAATGTGTAGCCTGAGTCTTCGTGTCATCTAATGGGCAAATATTATTTATGAATTTAAATGCCCATTAAGGAATTTTATTTATGATCAATCAAAAATAATTATATAGGCTACACTACAACATATCTGAAAAGAAGAAAAAAAATTAGATTGCATGAGAATTTATATAAAAAACTAAATTAAAGCACCTTGTCTGTCGTACTCAAATGCGCATATATATATATATATATATATATATATATATATATATATATACTCACACACAGCCACACAAACATACATATACACACAAATATATATATATATAATGATATAAATTAATTGATTTAAAATATGTTTTTTTCTACACATTTCTAACCATGTTTAAAAAATGGAAGCTAAAAAGCTTCGAATTTAATTTTGTAATTAAATTAAAGACATTAGTTCCATTTCATCCTCAAACAAATTTTGGAGTAACATTATTTTCTTTTTTTTTTACACACACACACACACACACACATATATATATATATATATATATATATATATATATATATATATATATATATATGTGTGTGTGTGTGTGTGTGTGTGTGCGTGTGTGCGTGTGTGTGTATGTATATTTTTTATCAATGAATTGTTGTGGGGGATGATGACTCCGAAAAAAAAGAATGATGTTAGTAGGACCTTCCATCCCACAAAAATAAGTGTCCTGTCTACACAAAAAAAATCAAGTATCTTTCGCGCTATGGGAGAGGGAAAGGATAAAAATTTATTGGCATTTGAAAATTAAACAATTCACCCTGTCGAGATGAAAAGTCTGGCGAAAACAAACTGAGGAGGTTGGCAATCTCGAATTGTATCCTAACAAAAGCAGAAGCCGGCAACAGACTGGAAACAACATACTCACATTAACTGTGTAGACTTGGAATAGTCTATCTTAAGGAGGGATTAGCTCCTCAGGAAGCTGCCCTGTTGTCAATTAGTGTGACTGCAAACCAGTCACACCATAGATACCCACCTTTCGTTGAAATCTCTCGATACCAACCGCTTTGTGAACAGATCCTGATGAGAATAGCGATCGCTTCGCAGGATTTCCTACATTCGCGTCGTCCAAATCACCATTCGAGCCGTGGCCAGGACCCTAAAAAACACCATCCGTTTCACCTCAGAATACGCATTGTCACACGCGTATGCGAGATAAATGGGCACGACCTTTTCGGGAGCGATACGAGCCGTCACACTCGCCGACATAGTCCCAAAGTTGAGGAAGCCGTTTCTCTAAGCCAAGGTTACATCGTTGACAGTCTGGCAAATCCGCCACGTCCCATTTGAACGTTACATCATTGAGAGATAGCCGAACCAATCGCTAGGTAAGAGAAAACTCAGGGTTGTTGAGATAATACGCCGATGGCGACCAAGACGAAAAACAGCGCAACTCGATCGTCGACAAGCCAAACCGGACGCAAAGCGGCTTTTTCACAACCCCTTCACTAATTTTCGATACAAGACTCGCCTCGGCCGTTACTTATCTTGTAATGAAACAACGACTGTCCTGGTAATCATCGCGTCAAAAAACAAATGAAACGCCGCCGCCCGCATGAAGGCATTGCAGCTGAAACGTCCTTAATATGATGGTGATCTTGTTCATCTTGGAAACTTTCCATTAGCTGGTTAGTTACTAAGAGGAATTAATCAAACAACTTCGTAAAAATCTTATGGAACTCTCCTGTCATTTAAATATATCTTGAAAAAGACAGACGTTCTGTTAAAATATTGTTTTTTTCTTTTCTTTTTCTTTTCTTAAATCGTGATCTTCTCGTAACAGTTGAAAAATATTGACGGAGTTACGTCAGACATTTTGTTTAATAGTAATAATAAAAATAGTAGTATAAAATTGTATTGATACAGTGATTTGTGAGAAGAAACAACAATAATAATAATATTGATGAAAATTAGGAATCAAAAACGACTAAGAATGATGAGTGTATCGACTCAAATTGATGTGATAAAAACAGCCAGAACAAGATTCATTAAAACTAGTAAAAATAATATTATAAGGAAGAATGTATCGACCAAGAGTTTGGTAATAAAAAGCAACAATATGAGGAGAGAGCGTAAAACAAAAACTACTACTATTACTACTCTACTACCGCAGCTACTGCTGCTGCTGCTGCTAATAATAATAATAATAATACTATCAGCAACATGTCTTGGTTATGCATCTTACAACCGCTGCCATTATTTCAGAGTTTCCACCAAGGTCAGTGCAGCGTTTTTGAATTTTCAGGCGTTATCAGCTAACCTGTCGTAAGTTCATGGTTGATGATAATAATTTTTCTTTCTTTGGGATCATCTTCAGCGCATGTTTTCTGGGCGCGTTCAAACAGAATCTATATCCGGTTGATGGGAAGATATCCGGGGTTATTTATATAAATGTATCATTATGCAGCCGTCACTGAAGTAAAAGAAAAAAGAACAAGAGGAAGAGAATAAAAAAAAAAAGAAAACAAGAAAAACAACGCACGCTTATATTTTACTAATACACATCAATTTGCCTTATTTCGTTTTGTTTCAGATCCGACATTGTCTGTGATAGATTGCACATAACTTTCTTTAAATATCCCACATAAATAAGGCATAAATATCCCAAAGTATTGATTCATCGCAAACTAAGAAAACAAAATAAAGGGGGAAAAATAGTAGAATAATTAAGCGAAAGCCTACGTAAACTGATTCTTTTCCTTGTTTTCTTGTCACTTTCCCTTTTTCCTGTTGGACCTTGTTTTCAAACTGTATTTTCATAAATTGCCATCTCAATCGATGGGTGAATGGAATGCATCTTTGCCAGTAGATATCTACCTGTCCGCCATTTCTTAAGATTCTGAGATCATCTTTTCTGGTTTTATATTTAATTTTTTTTTTGTTTTTTGAAGGTTGGCGAGATTTTATTTTTTTTACTTTTTATATTATTTTGTTAATCTTTCTGTTGATATTTGATTTTGTTGTGTCCGTTTATTTCATAAGAAAGAATTTTTTTTTATTGTGTTCTTCCTTTTTTCATTCGACGTAATTTTCTTTTTAAATCACAGCGACAGTTTTTGCCGAAATATTAATATGCTTTTCTTTTCGGCCATTTTTTTTTTCTTTCTTGAAAAAATTCATCATTCATTCACTCTTTCTTTCTTTCTTTCTTTCTTTCTTTCTTTCATCACGTGTTTGTTTCTGTCTATTGTCTTTCTTAATTCCTTTGCTTCTTTCTTTCTTTTTTCACTTTATTTTTCTACGTTCTTTTCTGTTTTTTATTTCTTTCTCTCTCTTTTGTTTGTTTGATTCTCTCTTTCCTTTTTATCATTTTGTTAGATGTTTTTGTTTCTTTTTGTTCATGCTATTTTTATTTGTTTTTCTTTCTTTCTTTCTTTCTTTCTTTCTTTCTTTCTTTCTTTCTTGTCTGTACTTGCCTTTGTCTTTCTATCTTTCTGCCGCAATTTTTGTTTTTTCTTCTTTTTCTTTCTTTCTTTCTTTCTTTCTTTCTTTCTTTCTTTCTTCTCTGTATTTGACTTTGTCTTTCTTTCTTTCTGACACAATTTTTTGTTTTCTTCTTTCTTTCTTTTTTTCTTTCTTTCTTTCTTTTTTTCTTTCTTTTTATTGTTTGTTTCTGTCTTTCCTTCTTTCTGTTTTGTTATCTCTTTCTTTTATTTTCATTCCTAAAAGATTCCTGTTTTCAACAAACTCATCTAATCATAGAGGCGTTGGGGGTCAATTGGTGGTAATTTCGCTGATAATTCTACCCTGACAACATTCTTTCTTCTCTTATACGTCAGACTTCCCAGATTTGAAAAACCTTTCCCTTTAATCTCTCTCTCTCTCTCATTCGCTCTCTCTCTCTCTCATTCGCTCTCTCTCTCTCTCTCTCTCTCTCTCTCTCTCTCTCTCTCTCTCTCTATCGCGTGTAGATAAAATAAAATATATGGTGTAAGGTTTAAAATATCGGACGATAGAAAATGAAAGGAAAATCATGGGTCAAAAAATGTTACAAGCCAAATAACTTCAGATTATTTTCCTCTTAAAGATTCCACAAAAGCTGATTACCTTTTGGAAATCGGAAGAAAGAAAGAATAAAAGGAAAAAAAAGAAAAGTCATTTTGGATTAAATAAATAAACGTGAATAGAGAGAAAGAATGAACGTTATTTAACCGTGAAAAGAAAGAAAGAAAGAAAGAAAGAAAGAAAGAAAGAAAGAATGAAGTTGGGAAAAAATGTATAGGTAAGAAAAAGAGAAAAAAGAGGGAGAGGAAGAATAATGTTAAAGGCAGTTGGAAAAGAATAAAAAAGAATGGGAAAAGAAAGAAAGAAAGAAAGAAAGAAAAGAAAGTAATTCTTATTTTAGTAAATAACTGTGAATATAAAGAAAGAAAGAAAGAAAGAAAGAAAGAAAGAAAAAAAGAAAAAAAGACAGAAATAAAGAAGTAATTCATAATTTAATAAATAGCCGTGAATATAAATATAAAGAAAGAAGGAAAGAAAGTAAGAAAGAAGGAAAGAAAGTAATGATAAAGGAAGGGCAGAAAGTAAGAAAGAAGAAAGGAAAGAAAGCAGGAAAGAAAGAAGGAAAGAAAGAAAGAAAGAAAGAAAGAAAGAAAGAAAGAAAGAAGGAACGGTAATTGTGCATTAAATAAATTAACCGTGGGTATAAAGATAGAAAGGAAATAAATAACTTTTAATAAAATGTCAAAAGAATAAAATTCGATGGGGAGAAACGTACGCATGTCAATTAAACTGAAAGAAAGACAGAAAAATAAAAAAAAGGGAAAGAATAAAATACAAGGAGAAAGATGAGATAAATGGAAAAGAAAATGAAGAAAAAATAAATAAAAAAGCGAAAAGGACGTCAAAAATAAAAAGAAAAAAATGAAAGAATTACACAAATGCAATCGTGCTAGAAATTATTTACAAGATCGAATGCGAGAATCGAACCTAAATCATTAGCTTCATATAAAGATTACAGGTACACAAGTTAAACCGTTGGTTTCGAATGACATTTCTTGAGTTTTTGACCGACACAGAGACATGATCACTTCATATATATATATATATATATATATATATATATATATATATATATATATATATATATATATATATATATATATATATATTAAATAAAACAGGCCACTTTAAGGTTCCATGTAATAAATTATTTCACCACAGCCCTTTTAAAAGGACTGTGGATCATCAGACTTTCTTTCAAACAAAAAATGAAAAGAAAATTTGCACATTTTTGACGGACCGTATTAAACATATGTAAATTAACGAAGTGAGGAAGTGAGGAGGGGGAGAGAAGACATGAGTGAGTTAGCAGATATTGACACATTTAAACGGTTAACTTAACGGAAGTTATATATTGATATCGAAGGGGTAGAGAAGAAAAAACCCATAGAGAGCAAAAGAGGGAAGGGGGTTAAGAGAGAAGATGTCACTAATTTTCTTTGTTTCTAGCCTTTTTTTACAGTCCTTTTAAAAGGGCTGTGGTGAAATAATTTATTACATGGAATCTTAAAGTATTCTGTTTTTAATTAAATTATTTGTTCTGAATTTACATTGAGCTCTCTGGATTTTATCCTCCTTAGGTTTACCCATACGGATTACCTAGTTTTTCATAAACTAAATAACTAACTAACTAACTATATATATATATATATATATATATATATATATATAAAATTGAAGGGGAACGAACAGTAAGATTACAGCGTTCAGAACATTAATTTAAAAATAGTACTCAATACATAAAGTAGAGTAACACCATAATTCCCCACCTGATGAGACGTCTAAAAAAGTTTTTCACTTTTTTACGTTGAAACAAAAATGTACAATTTTGTAGTGGATATGTGCATGTTCTAATGTAACACTGCATAAGATATATATATATATATATATATATATATATATATATATATATATATATATATATATATATATATATATATATTGCTCTTCAACCGAACTGAATTGAGATCTGCGGGTCACTGACGTACTTCGCATAGAAAACGTTAAAATTTCCCTTCTTCTCTACCGCGCGACGATTACCTAGGGATAGAAACTCTGATTGATACCAAATCGGTCGGGTTTCGATCCCGGCTTGACACAATCGTACGTCTAGCCACACTGAAGAGTTGTGACACAGCGAAGCAGTCTGTCTTTAGGTGACAATATATTTTAAGACATTTTTATGCTTATACATTCTTTTTATAGATGCAAATATTTAAGTAAATACTCTGTTTATAATAAACAGTATTAAACAACATTTACCGGCCTGAATGTTGTTTAATATTTGCACACGCTCTATTTCTGATACTGAGCACTTTATCCCATAAATATAGTACATCTTAAGAGTATATTTTTCATATATATATATATATATATATATATATATATATATATATATGGAAAGAGAGAGAGTGACAGTGACAGAGAGAGATAATTACTAGAAAGATTGAGAAAGTGAGGAGAAGTAACAAGGATAAAAATTAAAACGTTGATATGTACAAAGAAAGAGAGAAATCGAAAAAGAAATGTGTGTAAGAGAGAGAGAGAGAGAGAGAGAGTGGTGGGGAGAGAGAAAGAGAGAACGCGAGAAGAGAAAGGACTAAACAAACTTGGAGGGAACAAAAGAAAGAAAGACAGAGACAGATAGATTGTAACTGTGGGCTTCATAAAGAAAGAGGGCGAAACAAAAAGGACAAAGAAAAGAAAGCGAGAAAGAGGAAGAGAAAAATAGAGAGAAAAAGACTAAACAGACTTGGAAGGAACAAAAGAAAGTAAGACAGAAAAAAAGAAAAAATACTCTGAGGGATTCATAAAGAAAGAGAGAAACAAAAGAGAGAAGAAAGTGAGAAAGAAAGAAAATATATGAAGAAAGAATTACGAGAGAAGGAGTGATAAAGAGATAGAAAAGAAATGAGAATACTATAGAGGCAGAGGTTATACATATAAATAGTTGGAGAGAGAGAGAGAGAGAAAGAGAGAGAGTGAGAGTGAGAGTTGAGGGGGAGGGATGCTGATTGTTCAATTCTGGTATTTTCAAAAACAAATTTTTAACGCCTAAAAAGAAGAAAGTATATTAAAGAAAGAAAGAATCTAACAAAAAAATAAATAAATAAATAAATAAATAAAATAAAATAAAAAATAAAATAAAAAAAGGCTAAAAAAAAAATATATTTCAAGTCTTTTGGAATTAATTTTTTTTCTAAGCGGTTCCCGACTCCCTGCTCGGCAGAAAATAGATGTTTTGAAATCCATTTTATCAGAAAGAATGTCGCTAATTATTGCAAAAACAAAACCCATAAAAGCAAAAACAAGCCAAAATATTTGATAAATACCTTTTACATCGTCAGGCCCCACTTCCTCCTCTGAAACAAACAAGTGGGAGTTATTTAATATAAGATTGTATAAGCGTTTGTAAATTAAACAACTACAGTACACAACTGCTTCGAAAATAGATGGTATTTATTTCTAAATTAATGTATTATTCTTTCTTCATGGGGTTTCAATATATTTTATTTTTGACAAACATATGCAGACGACTTTCTTCTGAAAGAAGATTTTTTTTAACGTTCTTTTATTTTTCTTTTATTTTTCTTGAGAATCATTACTTTGTAAAGTTTGAAGTAGGAGAAAAAAGAATTAAAATCTATACCGTATATACTCGCAGATTAGTCGATTTTGACTTCTGAATTTTTAACGACAAATCGTTAGATTGTCATAGATTATTTATATTTTTTATTTATAGCAGTGTACCGGTTTCGTCAAAACAATAACACACACACACACACACACACACACACACACACACACACACACACACACACACACACACACACACAGAGCTGCCTTTGTTGAAAAATAGAAGAGATAGTGAAGGATGTCAGAAGCAAATGTATCATGTCACCTAAAAGAAATATAAAAGCAAGCACGACAGGGCAGGAAACGTCATGCAATGGGAACTGTGCAAACCACATAAAAAATGCATCACTGTTGCAATAATGGTCGTACAAGCTCATAGTATCTGGTTAATGTTGTGGTGTCTTCCCTCTTAAGAATCTATGTTAGACTCTTCCGCCTACTATAAGTTTAGTAGGAACAGAGAAGAGTGAATGGATGGAATGCTGGTTCATACGATACACACTCACTAGTCGTGTCATACTCCTCTGGTGTACTTACTATTTAATATGCGATATATCCACATTATTACTTAACCATTTACTTGGCCATAACAGTTAATAATATAAGAAAACACTGGAACAAAAGATTAGTAAAGAAAAGATTTAAGCACCTGAGGGACATGGATTATAATGAATAATACCCTAATAGCAAATACCGTAGTTCAGTGCGGCAATGCGTACGACACAACGCTTCGCCTTGCGACCCCTATTTCTATGAGTAGTTGTCTTACTCATAGTGATAAGAATGTCTATGTTCAACAATTAGCATGTATGAAAATAGAAATAATTAGATAGCCTCCCAGGCCGATTAGAAATTGTCGAATCTGACAATCGTAATAAAAAAAAACAAAACAAAACAAAAAAAAACAAAAAAAAAACGGAAAAAGGATTTTATAGACAGCAACATGGACGTACCAGCGGATTAAAAATTAAAGAAATTGTGAAAAATGAAAATGTTGGTAAAGGTTAGGGTGAAATTATTCATTTGCATACAGGAAACATTCACTATTTCATTGACCGAACGGTTAGCATTAGTGTCGGTTGAAATTTATAAAATCTTTTTCAATATATGTTTATATATATGAAATGAGGTATTATGATTAATTGCATTATTTACATTATTCGGACTGTTATCCTCATCTTTATTGCAATATTCACAACGTTTCGGCCTTTGTACGCTCCAGCCTTCTTCAGGTGATTGGAATTTTTCTTCAATATCAGCATATATCTCTGAGATAAGGTATTATGATTACTTGCATTATTTACATTATTCGGACTGTTATCCTTATCTGCATTGCTATATTCACAACGTTTCGGCCATTGTACGCTCCGGCCTTCTTCAGGTGATTGGATCTCTGAGATAAAGTATTATGATTACTTGCATTATTTACATTATTCAGACTATTATCCTCATCTTCACTGCCATATTCACAACGTACCGGTCTTTCCCAACGCCGTAATTTAGCCATTCATTGGGATTATTCTGATTTATTCTTTAATGATAATTGTTCTGAGGAATTCTCTTCTGTTATACCCAGTCTCCATGGATTTAAGCGCATTACTAGATTGGCGGTGGGATGCCATCATTTTACATTTGAAATGGCTAAATGTAACCGTAAGTTCTATGCTAACACTTTCTTCTATTGTGCTTCTCGTTTGTGGAACTCTCTTCAGACTTCTTCAAAAATCTATATGCAATGTCAATCGTCATTTTCTGTCCTCTTAAATTCTGTTCTTTTATTGTTCTCACTACTTAATAAAGCTTTTGTCACATTTTTGCAAATTCAGTAACTCCTGCGTATTAGTGGCTTTGTTGCTTTCCTTGGTGTGAAATGATTAAATAATAATAATAATAACAATAATAATAATGATAAATGTGGCAGATGTGGAGAATAACAACTCCAGTTGTAGTTGCAACCTTCTGATTCACTGGAAAATATTCCAATAGAATCATTGCAGAGATTCCTGGTATTCCATGTCTTAAAAGATACAAAAAATTGTACTCACAAATACAGCCCACACCTTAAGAAGCGCTTTATCTGTGTAAAATAAGTTTGGTTTTAGGTGCGTTTAAGTCTCTGGCTGGAAAGAAATGAGTATTCACCAGAAAGAAAAGAAAATAATAATAATAATAATGATAATAATAATAATAATAATAATAATAATAAGAAGAAGAAGAAGAAGAAGAAGAAGAAACAAAAGGAGAAGGAGAAACAAAAGGAGAAGGAGAAATTGTGGGTCAAAACTATGTGAATGAATGAAATAAAGACCAAAATAGAAAAACACAGTTAATCCACCGAGAACTGTGCAAATGGCAACATTTTAATCTTGCAAACCAGAGTCTCTCTTAGAAAATGAAATGCATAAATACGACTCAGACATTGAATTTCAAACGGATCACCCAATCCAGGTCAGAAGACTGGATCCAGAAATCCAGATCCGATAGTAAAAAAGGGGAAGGTATTTACTCATTACTGAAGAAAGAAAGATCAATGACAGGCTTCAACAACATTCACCGTAGTAGAAAATGAAAACCTTAATGTGCGCAGCCAACCGTGCATTCGATGCGTAGTAATAATAATTATGAGTTCAATCGTTGGGTCCCGGCGCAGGCGTTTACTTGGATTCGGCGTAGACGGGACGAACAATAATTAAATAAAAACTAAACAAGATTTCCCTTGACAACGAGACTAAATAAAAGGGTTTCGTTCGAAATTCCCTGAATGTTACTCGGACAAGTAACGACCGATGATGGCCGGAGGGTACAACGGCCAAATAGTTTGCATATACATAATGATAATTCTTGATCCCCAGAAATTCAGGCAGGACAAAAATCTCAGACTACCGAGTAAATTGGAAAGAAAGTGAAAAAAAAAATGACAAAAAAAAAAAAAGAACAGATAGCTATGGATAGAATGAGATAGATAGAAAGATAGACAGACAGATAGCTAGATAGTTTCTTCACGCGAAGCAGTGCTCTATGAAACCGACTCCAAAGAGGATGTTTCCCCGATCATTACAATCTTAACCAGTTCAAGAATTGGGGTAACCGTATCTTCCTCTCCTATTTACAAGAATTGCCTTCTAACGTAACCCTTTACATCGAGTGAACCCTAGGCCTTGTATAGGCTGAACCTTACTGTAAAAAATAGATATGAACAAAATGATATAGACAGCTAGATAGGTATGAACAGAATGAGATAGATAAATAGATAGATAGATATGGATAGAATGAGATAGATAGGCAGACAGTTATGAAAAGAATGATATATATATATATATATATATATATATATATATATATATATATATATATATATTAAGAATTGGACAAAGTCCGACAATTTATTAAAGACATTTTTATGTTTAACATTATTTTTATCTATAAAAGAATGTTAAACATAGAAATGCCTTATATATATATATATATGAATAGGAAAGAGCTAGATATGAATAGGAATGAGATAGATAGATAGATAGATAGATAGATAGATAGATAGATAGATAGATAGATGAATAAAGAAGAAGGTAGATAGATAGATAGATAGATAGATAGATAGATAATGATAGGTTGTTGAATATAAAGTTTAGAGTCTTGGGGACACTATCAAAAGTCACTAAGAACCTGGTAAAAGAAAGACAAAAGAGTTGGAACCACATAGACAAAAGAAAGTAAAACGCTGTAAAATATCTGACTTCCATCAGAGAACTAAAAATAATGAACCATGTTAAACATAAAAATGCCTTATATATATATATATATATATATATATATATATATATATATATATATATATATATATATATATGAATAGGAATGAGCTAGATATGAATAGGAATGAGATAGATAGATAGATAGATAGATAGATAGATAGATAGATAGATATGAATAAGAATGAGGTAGATAGATAGATAGATAGATAGATAGATAGATAGATAGGTTGTTGAATATAAAGTTTAGAGTCTTGGGGACACTATCAAAAGTCACTAAGAACCTGGTAAAAGAAAGACAAAAGAGTTGGAACCACATAGACAAAAGAAAGTAAAACGCTGTAAAATATCTGACTTCCATCAGAGAACTAAAAAAATAATGAACCATGTTAAACATAAAATGCCTTATATATATATATATATATATATATATATATATATATATATATATATATATATATATATGAATAGGAATGAGCTAGATATGAATAGGAATGAGATAGATAGATATTAACAGAATGAGATAGATAGATAGATAGATAGATAGATAGATAGATAGATAGATATGAATAAGAATGAGATAGATAGATAGATATGAATAAGAATGAGATAGATAGATAGATAGATAGATAGATAGATAGATAGATAGGTTGTTGAATATAAAGTTTAGAGTCTTGGGGACACTATCAAAAGTCACTAAGAACCTGGTAAAAGAAAGACAAAAGAGTTGGAACAACATAGACAAAAGAAAGTAAAACGCTGTAAAATATCTGACTTCCATCAGAGAACTAAAAAATAATGAACCACGAACCTGACAATTGAGCCCAGCATCACTGGCGAACCTAGAACGGTCACAGCGTTTGAAAAAAATGAAATTTTCATAAAAACCTTCATACTAAAATTAACAAGAATCCTGAGAAAAGTGCTGAATTACTGGCGAGACTTGCTATCATATGATCTCCAGTTAAAGCTATCTGATACGATCAGTGTGAAAAGTCAGTGTGTTCGATATTAATAATAAAACTTTATTTTCTCTTTCTCACTGACCTAATCCTCACTATTCCTTATCTGTATTATTTCCACATTTAAAAGAAAAACTCAGGACAATATTAATAATAAACAATGGTATCACTTGGTAATAACGACTACACTACAGTCTTTGCCTTTTCTTTATTGGCAGTAGTAATGATAATATTTGAATTACATCATTATTACTTACGACTAATGCCTTTACTTTTTTTCTCTCAGTACTTTGATGATAATATATTTTATCCAATCCTCATCAATGAGACTTTGCCTTTCGTCTCTTCAAGCAAGAAAACAAAGAAGAAGAAAATGAACAACAACAACAACAACAACAACAACAACATTCATAATGGAAAGAATTAAGAAGAAAAAAATTCGTTGGAAAGAAGCATGAATGAAAAAAGCCAAAAAGCAAGTAAAAAAGGATAGAAAAATAAACTGAGAAGGAATAAGAAAATTGTAAAGAAGGAGAGGAAAAATAAAAATGAATAAAAAGCTGGAAGAAAGCGGACGACAAAAATGGGACGTTTGGGTTGGTTGGATGAAGGTGTTAGATGTGAAGTGACATTCTTTATGCGGGTCTCTGGAAACGATAAGACGACTTGACAAAAAAAAAACTGCAAAATATTTTCTCCTTTTTTTATGGTTACCGTTTTTTTCACGATTATTATTCAACGATATGGCACCAACAGCTTTTGGGTTTATAACATGATTCTTTTATAAGAAATAAAGAACAAAGGTGAACTAAATTTGACTTTATGATGAGAGAGAGAGAGAGAGAGAGAGAGAGAGAGCGGCGGAGAAGAGCGAGATCTAGCTTGAGAGGGATAGACACATGTGCAAGTATATGTAGATACACATACATACTGATTTAACTTAGGCATAAGGCTCCATATGGAAAAAAGACTATGTTGCGCCAACCTTGAAATCATCATGGCAGTAATCCAATCGAAAACACGCACTCCTACGATATGAGTATCTGACACAAATGGTTGACAAAACACAGACATATATATATATATATATATATATATATATATATATATATATATATATATATATATATATATATATATATATATATATATATATATATATATATATATATATATTCAAATATAATCTGTAGAGAGGACAGTATGAATAAAAAAAAAACATGAATTAACGACATTTACCGGCCTGAATATCCGAGAAATTTTCATACAAAATATGCGTCCCCCGACTAGAATCGAACCTGTATCCTATACAGTAAAATCGACCTTGCTAACCGAACGCTCCTCTTTGGCGAAATCGGTAAAAGCACGTCAGGCTATATGACGATTCCATATAGGATACAGATTCGATTTTTGTCGGAGGACGCATACTTTCTATGAAAATTTCTCGGACATTCAGGCCGGTAACTGTCGTTAACACTGTTTATTATAACCAAAGCATTTACTTAAATATTTGTATCTATAAAAAGAACGTATAAACATAAAAAAATGTCTTAAATAATTGTCGGACTTTGTCCATTTCATAATATATATATATATATATATATATATATATATATATATATATATATATATTAAATAATTGTCGGACTTTGTGCATTTCATAATGTATAAATTTGATTATTTACAGTCATGTATAAATTATTTGAACCTCATTTCTCAAAAGATGCAATAGGTTTCAGTCTTATTGCGGTAGACCAACTATCGCTACAAAGTGATTTTTGGGGAATCTTTTTGGAAAAATGTTCGCCTTATATGGCAAGAATTACATATAGTTATATGCCTTTGCTTTTTAAACGATTTACAGATAATCATTCTATATAACATCCCAAAGAATCTATCAATAGAAAACAACGATTCTGTTTACAATCCCGAGGTCAATGTAGTCATGGTGAAGTGAGACAATGCTGATGACATAGGTATTCCTAGTTGGGAGTAGTATGATCTTGAATAGAAAATCAACACCCTTTACTAAGTATTCCAAGAGTTAGAACTCAAGATAAGCCTTTCCAAAACAGAAACTATGATCTGGAATTGGAATAAAACCAGTGATGCCACCAGCACGGAATACATAAAGATTCAGGATGTGGATTTAGTATATACTAAGCACGTCAAATACCTTAGTGTATTTATCAGTAATAAGAAGGGAGAAAAGGAAACTGAATATAAAAGAGGATGCGCTAGTAATCTGTCTTGTTAAATAAAGAGACAAACTGAAAGAAAGACAAACAGATATTGAAAATAAAAGACTGCCTTTTACTGCATTTCTCTTTAGACTTTTTTTATTTTCTGTTTTTAAGCATTCCTTCTTTTCTTTCTTTCTTTCTTTCTTTTTCTTTCTTTCTCTACTTCTTTTTTCTTTCTGTCTTTATTTCTTTTTTCTTTCTTTCTTTTTTCTTTCTTTACTTATTTTTCTTTCATTTTATCTTTCTTTTTTCTTCCTTTCTTTCTTTACTTCTTTTTTCTTTCTTTCTTTACTTTTTATCTTTCTTTATTTCTTTTTTCTTCCTTTCTTTCTTTACTTCTTTCTATCTTTCTTTTTCTTTTTATTTTTTCTTTCTTTACTTATTTTTCTTTCTTTTTATCTTTCTTTTTTTCTTCCTTTCTTTCTGTATTTCTTTTTTCTTTCTTTCTTTACTTTTTATCTTTCTTTATTTCTTTTTTCTTCCTTGATTCATTTCTTTTTTCTTTCTTTCTTTTTTCTTTCTATCTTTCTTTACTTCTTTCTATCTTTCTTTGTTTCTTTTTCTTTCTTTCTTTCTTTACTTCTTTTTTCTTTCTATCTTTCTTTATTTCTTTTTCTTTCTTTCTTTTTTCTTTCTTGCTTTCTTTACTTCTTTCTATCTTTCTTTATTTCTTTTTTCTTTTTCTTCCTTTCTTTCTTTCTTTCTTTCTTTCTTTCTTTCTTTCTTTCTTTCTTTCTTTCTTTCTTTCTTTTTTCTACTCTATATTAAAGCCTTTTCCCACATCAATATTTTTTTCTGTCTTTTTCCCCGGTACCTTTTTCTTCGAAATTTTTCATTTTTGTATTTGTTTCCGTATTTCATTCCTTATTGTTTTGGTCTTTTATTATTCTTTTGTTTTCCTTTTCTTTAGTTAAAATCAAACACCCCCAACATCTTGTTTCTATTGCATTCTTATCTTTCTTTCTCTGTCCGACATCTTTTTAGCAATTTTTTAAGTCACCGTCAGCACTTGTTCATGTTCAGTGTTCACCCAATCTTTTTCTTAAATCAAAATTATAGACAAGATGAGAAAGATGATGTCATTATCTTCCTCCAGGTGATATGAATTTTTATTTTCAACGAATTTGTTCTTCACGCAATTTCACCTCCCCGATCCATATTTTACTCGTTTGCATTTCAGTAGCGCCATCTGTTTGTCAAACGCTTTAAGCAAAGGGAGGTAAGCTAGCGGCGATATACGTTCATATCGTGCGTACATTATTTTTGTAATTTCGAATCAAGAATAAGGACGGGATATTTTCAAGAATTTGAAAGTGAAGTAAAAAAAAAGGACAAAAAATCTTGACGTAAAATGTTTTGAAATGGAGGCAAAGAAAATCTAGATTCATAATAATAAGAGAAATCTTTAAATAAATGGTCAGTAAAAACCGGTAAAATGTAGTGCAGCAATTAGAAAGTAAAATATATGAATTATTTTTTTTATCGATCATTACTCTTATCACTATTAGTATGAGAAAAACGAGTAATATACATTGAAAGAATGGCAGACAAAATGTTGTCATATGGTACTGCCAATCGTAATATTAGTCGTTTCCTTATAAAGAAACATTTGATATTCATTGACTAAGTAGCTGGTAATAGTATCGGCAGAAATTTATACAATATACCGTGTAATAGCTTTCTCGGTGGGCCTTCTAAAAATCAATATCTGCTACCTTCCTTATCGTATCTAAAACATAAACCATTGAACTAGGACGATTGTTATTAAGTTCACATAATATATATATAGACGTCTCAACTTTGAAACGTCTCAACTTTGATCTGAATACCTGGGAAACCAAAACATCAAACCGAAAGGAGTGGCGTAAGACATGTTTTATTAAGTTGAAAGGTTTTGAAGACAGTAGACTGAAGGACCGTGATCAACTTCCTCAAAGCCTGACGCAGAGACGCCATCAAAATCCTGCTCTAAGAAATTTCATCTGTCAATGTGGCTTTGTCGCTCACAGCAAGGCTGGTGTAGTATTGCACTTAAGAAAGCACAAATGAAATATGGCTTTCCCTTACCTGATTTTCTCCACAAAAAGCATGCATAAGTATAAAACAAAGGCACAATGCTCACCCTCCTTTACTGTTCACGGTAGAAAGTATCCACTATATATATATATATATATATATATATATATATATATATATATATATATATGTGTGTGTGTGTGTGTGTGTGTGTGCGCGTGTGTGTGTGTGTGTGGTGGGTGTCTGTGTCAGATGGATATACAGAAAGAGAGAGAGAGAGAGCGAGAAAGAGAGGGTGGCGTAATGTTACCAGCTAGGGATATCGTACTGATTATATTAGGAAAGGCATGAAACCATTCTCCTTGCGCGTTGTCATATCTGAAGAAATATTGAACGCATCTTCTGATATTTCACATACAGCAGGATTGCATGTGTAAGCCGTTGTGTAAATCACTTCCCCATAAGTACCTTACCTGGTTTATCAGTTGTAGCAAAAAATCCATTAATACCAAATTAAACCTTCATAGATGCCAATAGACTGGAGACAAGGTCTCATCAGTTTACAGATGAATTGGCTGTAACCGCAAGTTCTATGCTGACTATTTCTTTTCTCGCACATCTCGCTTGTGGAACTCCCTTCCGGTTCAATGGTTTCCAGCCAACTTTGATCTTCAAAAATGTAAGTGCAATGTCAATCGACATCTAATGTCTTCCTGATTATTCTTCTATTGTTCTCGCTCCTTACTAATGTTTGTTTTCTAATTCTTGCACACCCAGTAACTCCTTGTATCTTAGTAGCTTTACTACTTTACTTGGGGGGAATTCGATTAAAAACGTGATAATATTGATTGCTGCCTTGAAATCAGATTGTTATATTATATATATATATATATATATATATATATATATATATATGTATATATATATATATAATAATCATCCATAGAATCAATCAGTAATATTAATGCGATTAATGGCGAAATCACTTCGCTAGTAGAACATAATGTATGCATTAAAATTCTGTTAATCCATTGATTGATGTGATCCTCATTTATAAAACTGTTGTCAGATGTTTCTAGTGTATATTTTTAACATAAGCAAGTACTTTCGAAGACAATGTCTCCATCATCAGGCTGTAATTTTTTTCCTTAAAAGTTAAAACTTGAAGACGAAATAATTGTTTGTAGATCGAAAGATGTTTTTAAGAATGTGCTATTTATTGACGAATCGCAACTCTAAATTTCAAAATTTCAAGTGAGAATTTTTATATGAATTTTGTAATATGGTAAATCCACGAATTCTTTTTTTTACAAGTGTTTTTCAGTTAACATGACATGAACTACGTATATAGTTCAATTAATATAGTGATATGTCTTACTAGTATTTTTCTCAGGAATTTCATACTGCAGGATCAATTGTTTTTTTATAAACATATAATATTAGGCAGCATATATTTTATATATAAAGAAATAATCATACATAGAATCAATCAGCAACATTAATGCGATTAATGGCGAAATCACTTCGTTAGTAGGATATACATTAATATCTATATATCAATATATATCATATATATATATATATATATATATATATATATATATATATATATATATCAATTTATGTGTTAAAGTTCTCCGAATAAATCTGTAGAAAAACAAATTGAATAAAATAGACAATCGGCAAGTAGTACTTAGCCCCTGCCGACGTGTTTGGCCATTCGAAAAAAATAAAAAAAGAAGGAATATGTTGCTAATATTCTAAAAGAGGCTTACATAGGAAAGTCTTGTAAAATTTTTGAATTATATGTAACTACACATTTCGCATCGGCAAGGAGTGAAGTACTATTTTATTTGTCTATTTATTTGTTTATTTTATTCATACATATTTATTTATATTATGCAGTGTTACATTAGAACATGCACATATCCACTACAAGATTGTACATTTTTGTTTCAACGTCAAAAAAGGGAAAACCGTTTTTAGACGTCTAATCAGGTGGGGATTTACGGTGTTACTAAATTTTTTATTCACAAATGCAGTTATCGAAGCAAATATCCCCCACTTTCGTTCTTTGGAAATTTTCATAAAATGTCTTCTAGAATTTACATGTAGAGATAGAAGAGAATCTAATGCATTAAGTAGTCGCGGACGAACGAAAAGGAAGGGAAAAACGAAAGAAAGAGGCTAAAAGAAAGATATATATATATATATATATATATATATATATATAGAGAGAGAGAGAGAGAGAGAGAGAGAGAGAGCTTTTGTGAAAGATGGTGGAACAGGTTCGCGAGGATTGGCAAATGGAGAAATACTGCTAGGAAGTTGCAGAGAGCCATGATCGGCTATGTCCACAGAGGACGCGACACATAGCAGAAAAAGATCCGCGGAAGGACATGGTCGGAGTCCAAAGTTTTCCTTCTCTTATAAAAGGTGCCGGCTAAAGCATGAGAGACCATTCTGCACTGATAATAACACACACAAGTATATATATATATATATATATATATATATATATTGTCATCCACAGACAGACTGTTTCGCTGTATCACAACTCATCAGTGTTGCTAGACATCCGGTTGCCTCTAGCTAGGAACGAAACCCGACTGAATTGGTGTCAATCTGGGATTCTACCACTAAGCGGTTGATGTTGAAGGTGAATTTAAGCGTGTTTATTTTTAGATAAACACACAGTGACTGAGAGAACTCGATTCGATTTAACGAAGAATCTTGCACACACACACACACATACTCACACATTCAGGCCGGTAAATGTACTTAATACTGTTTATTACAAACAGAGCATTTGCATAAATATTTGTATCTATAAAAAAGAATGTGTAAGCATAAAATGTCTTGAAATAATTGTCGGACTTTGTCCATTTATATATATATATATATATATATATATATATATATATATATATATATATATGAGGCAGGATGTGTGTGTGTGTATATGTGTAACGAATGCACGGGCGCAATTTTCGACGGATTTGCACCAAATTTACATGCACATGCTCCAAGTTAGCGGAAAGACCAAGACCGACTTTACATTTCCCAAATCCCATCGATAGTGGAAATAATCGAATTTTTCAGGCTTCTACGGCAGTTTTCATGTAGTTTGCGGCTATTTTGTACTGGCCAGAGAGAGAGTCAATAGCTGACTGCCACGAATGTTAACTAGCATGCTAGCATGCAAAACAAATCGATAGCAGCATTCGTCACAAGTAAAATTTAAATCTGCATGGCACTTTACTCCAATTGGCTCATTCGCTTGCTTAAACTCGATGTTGATTCTGATTCCACAGAATAAATTCATTTTATCTTCAACATCATCACTTGATAGGACACCGAGTGTGTTGAAACAAAATGGCTATTTTGTAGTGATTTTATCACATACTTATGTTATAATTTTTTTATAAATAATAATTATATCTGCTCTACTTTGTATTGAGCACTCTTTTAAGAATAGTAATTGTTGGTTATTGGAATTCATTCGTATATACCAATATATATACTATATATATATATATATATATATATATATATATATATATATATATATATGTCTATTTTTACTATTTTGCTCTGATGTTGTCGCAGAATTCATTGTGCTTCAGAGTTGTTCTTTTTAATTGTGTGAAAACTAATCGAGAATAAATCTTTTTTTACTAGTTTCACCCCAAGCAAGGCAATAAAGCCACTAAAGCGCACAGTTACAGAATGTGAGAGAAATGAACCTGGAAGAGAGTTCCGCAAAATAGAAGTACAATAAAACTATTTGTTAGCCATACTACTTACGGTTACATTTAGGTAATTCAATGTAAAAATTTGAACTGTAAAATGATGAAACCTAACTACCAATATAGTACTGCGATTACATTCGTAAAATCGAAGTACCAAAAAGGAAAATTCAGAACAATTACTATGAAATATTTATAGAAATTGCACAGGGAAATTACAATACGTCGCTTTGAAAGTGACTAAAGCCGAGATGCCATGCCAGTACCAATAACACTTTGTATTTTATCAAGAATCTCTAAATACATAGCAGAATCACTAGACGATATGTGGGAGCAATATTCAATGCGTGGATGAATGGTAGGCTTATAAATATTTAAAATAGAGTTCGAAGGTTTGAGTTAATTTTCTACACTACTAATATCTTGAAAACTCGAGCATGTTAGTGTACACCAAATTTATTCTCAACTGTCACATATGACTAGTAGTAAGGATGTTTTCATTAAAAGAGCATACATATGAATTATTCCAACTTGATCACACTAGACATTATGGTTAACGTGAACTATCATACATTGGAAATTAAAGTGACGCTTTTTTCCAAAATCTTGAATAAAGCTTTTGAAAAAATTATTTGATGAAATAAATGTTTAATTTATTTTAGAAAAGGACTTACCCGACATTATGAATTATCCAAATATATTTTTGTCCCAAGGATCTGGATAATCAAGGAATTATCTATAAGTATGCTAAATCGAGGTTTCACTGTATTTCCAAAAGGAAGAGAGCGAGAGAGAGAGAGAGAGAGAGAGAGAGAGAGAGAGAGAGAGAGAGAGGGAGAGGGAGAGAGTAGAAAATGAGGAATAATAAAGGGAGAAAGAGAGGCAAAAAGTTTGGGTGAGAACGGGAAAGGGTAAGAGAAAAAAGGAAAGACAAAGGGAAACGAAGAAAAAGAAAAGAGGGAAAGAGAAATTGAAATAAATAAAGAGAAAAAGGAAAAGAAAAAAGGGAAAGAGAAAAAGAGAAAGAGAAAAGGGGAAGAGAAAAGGAAACAAAGAAAGAGAAAAAGGAAAAGAGAAAAAGGAAAGAGAAAAAGGGAAGGAGAAAAAGGGAAAGAGAAAAAAGGAATAGAAAGGGAAACAAAGAAAGAGAAAAGAGGGAAAGAGAACAGGGAAAGAGAAAACGGGAAAGAGAAAAAGGGAAAGAGAAAAAGGGAAAGAGAAAAGAAGGAAAGAGAAAGGGAAACAAAGAAAGAGAAAAGAGGGAAAGAGAAAATGAAATTAAAAAAGAGAAAAATGAAAAGAGAAAAGGGAAACAAAGAAATAGAAAAGTGGGAAAGTGAAAAGGGAAAGAGAAAAAGGGAACGAGAAAAAGGGAAAGAGAAAAAGGGAAGAGAAAGAGAAACAAAGAAAGAGAAAAAAGGGAAAGAGAAAAAGGGAAAGAGAAAAAGGGAAAGAGAAAGGGAAACAAAGAAAGAGAAAAGAGGGAAAGTGAAAAAGGGAAAGAGAAAAAGGGAAAGAGAAAAGAGGGAAAGAGAAAGGGAAACAAAGAAAGAGAAAAGAGGGAAAGAGAAAGGGAAACAAAGAAAGAGAAAAGAGGGAAAGAGAAAGGGAAACAAAGAAAGAGAAAAGAGGGAAAGAGAAAGGGAAACAAAGAAAGAGAAAAGAGGGAAAGAGAAATTGAAATAAAAAAAGAGAAAAAGGAAAAGAGAAAAGGGAAAGAGAAAAAGGGAAAGAGAAAAAGGGACGAGAAAAGGAAACAAAGAAAGAGAAAAAGGGAAAGAGAAAAAGGGAAAGAGAAAGGGAAACAAAGAAAGAGAAAAGAGGGAAAGTGAAAAGGGAAAGAGAAAAAGGGAAAGAGAAAAAGGGAAAGAGAAAGGGAAACAAAGAAAGTGAAAAGATGGAAAGTGGAAGGGTAACAAAAAATAGAAATGACGGAAAGAGAAAGGGAAAGAAAGAAAAAGAAATGAGGGAAAGAGAAAGGAAAACAAAGAACGACAAAATAATGCAAAGGAAAAGGGAAAGAAAGAATGAGAAAAGTGGTAAAGGAAAACGGGAAAGGAAGAAAGAGAAAAAAGAAAAAGAGAATAAACAGAAAGTGAAAGGGAAGCAAATAACGAGAAATGAGTGAAACGAAAAGGGAAATAAAGAAAGAGAAAAAAAAAGGAAAAGAATAAAGGGAAAGAGAAATGGGGAAACAAAGAGAAATGAGGTAAAGAAAAAGGAAGAAAAAAAGAAAGGCAATAGAAAGAAAGGAAAAAGGAAAGAAAGAATGAGAAATGAGGCAAACGCGAACGATAAAACGAATGAGAGAAACGAGGGAGAAAAGATTGTTAATAAAAAAAAAGTGTTGAAGAAACGCTAGAAGGCAAAAGATTGCTAATACGGAAAGAAAGGTGGAGGTGTAAAAAATAAGGGAGAGAGAGGGGAGAGAGAGGGGGAGAGAGGGGGAGAGAGAGGGGGAGAGATGGAGGTAGAGAGAAAGAGGGAGGAGAGAGAGGGAGAGAAAGAGAGGGGGGGGAGAGGGGGGAGGAGAGAGAGGGAGAGAGAGAGGGAGAGAGGGACAGAAAGAGACAGAGAGAGACACAGAGAGAGACGGAGAGAGACAGAGAGAGAGATGGGGAGAGAGGGAGAGAGACAGTGGGAAAGAGAGAGAAAGAGAGAGAGAGGGGGAAAGAAAGAGTGAACGAAAAGCATGACTGAAAAGGATAAGAAAGAGCGGGGAAATGAAAAGTAATGGTTTGTGTATGTGCGTGTATATGTGTGAGAGCGATTGAGAGGGAATTATCAAAGCAGAGAAGTGAGACAGACAGAGAGAGAGAGAGAGAGAGAGAGAGAGAAGAAGAAAAAAGAAGTTAGAGAGACAGATAAACAGAGATAGATATAGAATAGTGATGAAGAAGTGAAAACAGAGATAGCATGAGAGAAAGATAGAGGAGTATAAAATGCATATATATATATATATATATATATATATATATATATATATATATATAGAGAGAGAGAGAGAGAGAGAGAGAGATGAAAAAGAGAGAGAAGGAGAAGGAAAAGGTAAAACGGAAGAGAAATACAGAATGAAAGATTGAAATTGTTGCGAAATGTATTGTGCTTGCGTATATTTGTGTGTATGCGTATGTAAATTAGATAGATAGAGAGAGAGAGATAGGAGAGAGACTGAGAAGAGAAAAAGTAAAATTGCAGAGAGAGAAAGACACGGAGAAGACGACAAGCAGACAGACAGAAAGAGGCGAAGACGGTGAAAAACAGTAATAAAACAAGCAAAAAAAAACGAAAAAAAATGGTGGGGTATGCATGTTTAGGTAAAAAGATAACATGTAAATTATTACGGAGGACGAAAAAGTCCCGAGGAAAAGAACGAGATTCCATGTCAGTTGCACTGATGATGAAAAATGGTTGCAATGGACGACTTGGAATGATAAGGCTAGCCTCGTCAAGTAATGAAAACTGCCATTATTCTTGAAAAGAGGATTTCAGAAGACAGACGGGTAAGAAAAGAGACATGACAGCAAAAGAGAAAAGAATCAAGTGAGATAGAGATAGATAGATAGATAGATAGAGAGAGAGAGAGAGAGAGAGAGAGAGAGAGATTTGGTGTCGAGAAGAAGAGTTAAGAAAGAGAAAAGAAAGCGGCCGGCTTGTGATATCATTCGAGTAAAAGGAAATCGGAAAGATAAAATTGAAAGAATCTGGCGTTTTTGGTGGAGGCCAAATATATATATATATATATATATATATATATATATATATATATATATATATATATTGAAGAAGAAAAGGAAAGTAGATAGGCAGTTATTTATGGTGAGTGTAGAAACGAAGAAGAAGAAGTTTAAAAGAGAGTTAATGGGAGAAAGTGAGGAATAATTCAAGGAGAAAAGAAGAGGAGGAAGAAGAAGAAGAAAAGAGGAAACAAACAATAACACCATTATTGTGATTAGTAATAATAGTAGTTGTATTAATAGAAGAAGAAGAAGAAGACGCAGAAGAAGAAAATAACATTAAAGTTCAGAAGCGAAGCGGAAGATGAAGCTACTACTACTACTACTACTACTACTAATAATAATAATAAGAAGAAGAAGAAGAAGAAAATGAATATCAAGAATAACAAAAAGATTACGAAAACAAACGAAGAATGATGATGAAGAAGATAATGATAATGATGATGATGATGATGATGATGAAGAAAAAGAAGAAGAAGAAGAAGAAGAAGAAGAAAGAAGAAGAAATAGAAATTTTACTGGAATAAGGGTTTGAAGAAAAAGAAAAACTAATTCTGTTATTAAAATTCAAAATGTAGAAAGAAAAAATAAATCGAAAATCGTAGAAATGACATAAAATTCGAAAACTTTAAAGAAAAAGATGTCAAATGTCCACTGCAAGAATAATCGATTAATGGATAATTGAATCGATTTTTCAGTTGGTTCAGGTCTCGTTTTTGGATATTGGTAATGTACTCTGGAAAAGAAAATGGTAGCAATTCGAAGGAGTACTGTGAATAAAGTGAAAATAATCCAATAAAGAATGGGAAAAACACATGAAATTAGGCGGGTTGTAAACGACTAAAAATAAATAAATAAATAAATAAATAATAATAATAATAATAATAATAATAATAATAATAATAATAATTTGAAGAAGAAGAAGAAGAAGAAGAAGAAGAGAAGAGGAATCGGCTCAAGTAGCAACCTCGACCTGACTCTAGACGAGTAATGTAGCCTCCTTGAAAGGGTCATGCTACCTATCTCGATATTGCAAAAAAAAAAAAAAATGGATAGAAATAGCTAGGTGTTCGACCGTTCTTACTGAAACACGTCCGTCAGCGTGAGCCAATGAAAAAAAGTCTTTATACACTCCACTCATATATACTGGTGTCTTTTTACTCCATTCGGTTTTCGATTCGAGTTACTTCCCCTGGATTCCTAACTCGGTAAGCTGGTCTCTTCCGTTATCTAGACTGGACGTGTGAAGATTCAGTATCACAGATTTGCGTGCCAGTTTCCTGAATTTAACGTGTGCATCTCCGTTCATGGGCGAGAGTAACGACGTAGATAAATGAACAGAATTCGAGAAGTTTCTTTTAAGTTTGAAGGATGCAATAGCTTATGAGATTTGGGAGCCACATATTGATATTTGGGCATATCTACAATTGGTGACCGTCTGCGCGGAGTGGGTTCCTTGACTGGACTTGCAATGTCATATTGTCATCTTCTGTCTCCTTCAAAGCTGATTTTTATTGTTCTCTCTCCTTTATAAAGTTTTTTTTCAGATTCTTTGACTCACAATTGCACTCTCCCCCCCTTGCGTTTTAGTGTCGTTATTGCCTTGCTTGGGGTGAAATAATTAATGAGGACCTAATTCACGTCACAGTAGTTAGCAGTAGTGTACTTGTCTCATTTATTTTATTTGTTTTGATTATTTCGCCCCAAACAAGACGGGAATGCCACTAGTACGCAGGGGTTTACAGAGAGTGAAAGTGAGAAAGAATGAATATAGGGTGGATTGAGGAAGGGCCCACATAGAAACGGGGTTCAAGAAGATAGAAGATGACCATTGACGTTGAATTTAAATTTTCTTAATCATTTCGCCCAAGCAAGGTGGGAATGCTACTCGTACGCAGGGCTTTACAGGAATTGAAAGTGAGAGAAAAGACTGAGTATAGGGAGGATTGAGGAAAGGATAACAGATGAACGGGATTCAAGAAGATAGAAGATGGCGATTGATGTTGCATTTAAATTTTTGATGATTGTAGTTATCAGGTAATCAGGGAAACGGAAGGGAATTTCACAGGCGGGAAGCGCAAGAAAGGGAACAATTGTAGTAGAAGTGGTGGTTGTCTTTACCTAATTCAATAGTAAAATGGTGGGGCCTAGATGCAGGCTAGTAGCAGGCTTAAATTCATGTAGTCAGGGCACCAAGGAAAATCACTCGCTTATTAGAAACATGAGACGAGGAGTCTTCAACGTTTGCAGCAAAAATTGAAGACAATGCTTTCCATAGCTTGACAAAGCAAGTCAACACAAACATAATGTTTTTTATAAATTGAGACACAGTCAAATCTCCGTCTTTTTACCCCGGAAAACACGGTAATAAAAAATATGAAACTACTGTCTGGGTTAGAGTGAATTAAAAAAAGATGAAAGTATTTAAAAAATGAAAAAAAGAAAAAAAAATTGGAAGAGGATGATTTTTAAAGATATTTTCCGGTATCATATTGTAATGAGTCTACAAGTTTTAACATCTTGAAAATCATGTACAGAATCTTTTTTTTTTCTAATTCTCCCTGGAAATGGTACTTTAGTTTCGATTACCGTGAAGATAAATTGACATGGAAAAGTGTTTAAGGGAACCCGAATCAATGGTACCCTCCCCCAGACCAATACTGATGTTTCTGGCAGAATCCAGTGAAGATGACGACGATGGGAATAATTCTTGCAATAATGACAAGAAAAGTAGAGTCTGGGCTGCGAATAATGTGTTGGTGGCGATAGTGTTTCTTGTTAAATGTCATGTTGGTAAAGGAAGGTATAGTCAGGGCAATGATACGATAGAAAATAAATCCCCAAGTTATAAAACGCTGATATTCGCAAATATCTCTATTAATCGGACACAAGTGAGTTTGGTCCTCACTGGGTGATCCTTATAATATTTCTGACATATATGATTCAATGCTCCTACCATTTCTCTAGAGATCCTTGATAAAATCCCAAGAAGAATCAGAAATGTTATTGGCCTGATATGCCATCTCGGTTTTAGTCACTTTCCCACCACCGTAAGGTCACCTCACTTCGCCTTTTCTCTAATTATTTCATGGCAATTGTTTGGATGAGCTCTTTGCTATGGTAATCGGGTCGTGACTACAAACGCGGGCATATGCGAGGTTTTTCGTGTATACTTTCAGGATCGCTTTACGAGTGTCAGTGTATAAAACCAAACAGTCGACATATCATTGTCGATATATTGTAATCAGATTTTAATTGGCAGATCATTTACCTTGAGTTCCTTGATAAAATCCCAAGAAGAATCAGCAATATTATTGGCCCTGCTCTGGCGTCTCGGTATCAGTAAATTTTGCACTGCCATAAGTTCTCCTCCCTTCGCCATTTCTCGAAATACTTTCATGGTAATTGTTCGGGTGAGCTCTTTGCTATGCTACCTGGACTCATTGCATTTAAGTGCTGTACTACACTAGCGACGGGGCCACAACAATTTACAGTTGAGCTTACAGTTTCTATTCTTGCCCTTGTGGAACTACCTTCCGGTTACTCACTTTGCGGCAAAATTTAAACGGCTAAAGTTCAAATGCAATGTCAATCTGTCCTCCTGATTACACTTCTTTTGTTCTTGCACCTTATCAATGTTTAGATTACTAACTTTCACGCCCAGTAACCTTTGACCCTGAGTAGCTTTACTGCCTTGTGTGGAATGAAATCGATTAAAACACACACGCACATACACACACACACGCATATATATGGTGGGCTCTCCGTCGTATTCGACGTATGAGGGTCAAGCAGGTCAGTTCCTAGGGACTAAAAGCCCAGGCACCAGTACAGTTGATTTGATTATAGTGGTGAAGGCTTCGTGCAGGACCATCCACACTTTTTGAAGGGCCGAATACAGAGCCCTGGTGCACTATGCGCTACAAGGTCCACAAAAGTCCCTTGGAATGTTATGAATTCACATCAGTTACAATCCAAGGCTATAGAACCCAGTCTGCCTTATTATTTATCCATAGCTGGAGAGAGAAGAGAAATATCACCATACACCCGAAAACAGATTCATATGCAGATGATATAGTGGAAATCACGGAAAGAAAACTACAAAAAGTCCTACAGAATGCGAGAAGGGTACTAAGCATCAACTAGAAAGCGAGAAGGTACTAAACTACTAGGAAAGCCAGAAGGTACTAAACATCAACAGGAAAGCGAGAAGGTATTAAAGCTACTAGGAAAGCGAGAAGGTACTAAACGTCAACTAGAAAGCGAGAAGATACTAAAGCTACTAGGAAAATGAGTAAGTACTAAACATCAACTGTAAAGCGAGAAGGTACTAAAGTTACTAGGAAAGGGAGAAGGTACTAAACATCAACTGGAAAGCGAGAAGGTACTAAAGCTACTGAGAAAACTAAACATCAACTGGAAAGTGAGAAAGATACTAAAAAGTTACTAGGGAAAAATGGTACTAATTGTTGCGGACCCGGCAGCGTGCAGTGCTGGTTTATTACAGAAGTGGCCTTTGCCAGACACCACACTAAACTACCGAGTCCACAAGCAATGTATAAAAAAAAAAAATATAATGCGTGAATGAACAGTGAGAGGAAAGGGTCAATCAACAAGTGCATAAATTAATGAACATCAAAGAGATAACCGGAATAAAATGACAAAGACGTCTATTTGTAAAAACATGTGTAACTTTAATTAGATTGAAACAAGTAAATTTGGAAAAAGGGTTCCGCGCCAAAATAGGAATGCAAGATGGCTAAGGCAGGGAAAAAGAGTTTTATAATGTTCTGGAAAAGGATGTGCGCACAGATAGAAAGGGTACTCACTGTGGATTTTTTTTTGGCGTTGTAGTGTGTGTGGTATTTTTGTGTTCAGGTTCATAGTTAAAAGAATGTTCGGTCGTCTCAGAGTTTTGGTGAGGCATTGAATTGGCTGCTGGAAATTTTAACGGATTGCTGTGGGCA